TCGTTGGACGGATTATAGCTCCAAACGAAATGTATTTTTTTTTCTTTGTCTGGCTAGTGCCGTTGTCTTTATATTATCATACAGTACATCAAAATTTTAAACACATAATGTATATTATTTAATAACAATAACCTTGTAATAAATACGCATGACCCTGTGCATTTAAAATATGCTCGATATTTATTTCCAAAGCACACATTGACGTCGTTTTTTTTGGATTGTAAATGCTCATTTATATCTACGTTTAATGATCATTCAATCATCATCCAAACTAATAATGGAGATTGTCTCTAAACTTTTGTCCCATTTTTGTATGTTTAATGGGTTATCTCGTGTATGAATAGAGATACATATATGCGGCGTCACATAACTCTGCCTTTTTTTATGAAACTAGCTACACACAGATTTGTCCTAGATTCCTTGCTTTCATCAATACAGGGCAAATTTGAAAATGTAGCATTTTTATGAAAATGTTGCATTAATAATAACCATCTATCAAAGAATGAAATCTAAATTATATTACCATAGAAACGCCTTTTGATTTTTAGGACTTCAGGAAAAAAATCAACCATATTTTCATGTTTTTTTTTAATTTTCTCGAAAACGATATGAAAATTTGGAACAGTATGAATAGGATTAATCAATTTAGAAAAAACAAAAAAATTTATGAAGAATGAATTTTTCTCTAAATGTCAATAATAAAAAAGTTTTTCCTCTTGTGAAGACAATCCGGGGACATACTGTATACACAGAAACTATCGTGGAATAGCCATTAACCAAAATTTGACATCGAATAAATTAATCGATTGTTTTGATTAACTAATTTGAACCGGCCGTCTATTGTAAAAAGTTAAATAATGTTTTCTTACCTTGTTTATGAAAATAAGTATAGAGTATGTTATATTTTTTTAGAGGCAATATGTAATATTTTACAATAAAATAAAATAATCTACAGGATCCCATTTAAAAAAAAAACATTAGTTTGGCAATAGTGCGTCGGGCATTTGTAGCTCCTAGAATAAAAACATGGGAATTTTGTTTCAGTGCAAACCTAAAGTATGTACTAGGATATATTTCAGAAAAATATTTTAACTCTTATAACAAACACACATGTGGGTGACACAAAGAAGTGTGAGTGGATTGGGATGATTTTTTTTAAATGGAACACTCTGTATATTATTGCATTTTTGGCTTCCTTTCAGATCACTTTATATAATCCTAAGCCATGAGTAAATATATTTCGGCAATTTCAGAGATATTAAAAAATAAATCAAAAATATATATTTTTCAAAATTAAACGTTCTCCATACAGGGTGGCCCATCGAAAACGTTCCGCAAGGCATAACGGCCAGGATATTTTTTTTTTCAAAAAATCCAAAAACACGTCAATTTTGTTTGTGAGGGGGACAATTTTTGCCCCAAAAATGATTCAACCCTCTAAGCGGGGGTGTCATCCCTCAACTTTTTTTCAAATGGGAAGGGGGGTCAAGTGGTACCGCAATGAAAAGGGCTTTTTATTCTCTATATTTTTCCGCTTCGTTTTTGAAAATCGGTCGAATCATTGAGAAAATATGAAGGATTGAAATTTGAAAAGTTTATTTAAACATTTATTAGAGTAAATGATAAGGATAAATTCCTTCGACCAATTTGCTGTTTTTTCTTATTATTTCTAGATGCTTACGCATTTTTTCACTTGCCACAAGGTTGAACGATCAGGTGCGGCAGTTGCTAGATAGCTGTTCTGTGACTTGTGCGTTGAAGTTCTTCTCAATATCGTTAAACTGACCTAAAATAGAATTTCCAAAAATACCAGCCCACACGTTCAATTTCTGAGGGTTTAGTGTGTGCACCTCGTGAAAAACCCCTCAGCCCAGTACCGACAGTTATGCCGATTAACTACACCGTTCAAAAAGAAAGCACACTCATGCGAAAAACACACATTAAATAGGAAATTATTATCATTCGCCACTCGTTCACTCAGAGTTTCACAAAATGGCAAGCGGCGATCAAAATCGTCTTCGTTGAGTTCTTATACCAACTGAATTTTGTACGGGTGGAACTTGTGTTTTTTTAATATCCTTTGGACACTGGTACGATTCACGCCGGCTAATTTTGCATTGGCTAATTTTCTTGTACTCAGCGTACTATCCATGGCAACTTGGCCCCAATACGAATACCTCCATAGCTTCATTTACTACAGGGTTTTCCTCTGCCTCTTTTTATTCATAACGGAACCAGTTTCGCGAGGAATTTTGCTACTAACTACTAACTCGCGAACAATTTTGTCATAAAAATGTTTTCAGGATGGCATTCATTGAATATCTGCGGAACCCGATTGCTACATTCATTATTTTTAAAATAAAGTTCGATTATTTCTACTTTTTCTGCAAGTGAGTACACCATAATTGTTAAAAAGTTTAACGATATTGAGAAGAACTTCAACGCACAAGTCAAAGAACAGCTATCTAGCAACTGCCGCACCTGATCGTTCAACCTTGTGGTAGTGAAAAGATGCGTAAGCATCTAGAAATAATAAGAAAACAAAGCAAATTAGTCGAAGGAATTTATCCTTATCATTTACTCTGATAAATGTTTAAATAAACTTTTCAAATTTCAATCCTTGATATTTTCTCAATGACTCGACCGATTATCAAAAACGAAGCGGGAAAGTATAGAGAATAAAAGCCCTTTCATTGCGGTACCACTTGACCCCCTTCCCATTTGAAAAAGTTGGGGATGACACTTCGCTTAGAGGGTGACACCCCCGCAATCATTTTTGGGGCAAAGTTGTCCCCCTCACAAACAAAATTGACGTGTTTTTGAATTTAAAAAAATTACCCTGCTTATTATGCCTTGCGGAACGTTTTCGACGAGCCACCATATTTTTCTTAAAAAAATATTAAAAATACTGTCTTGAAATCAAAACTATATTAGATATTTACTTTATGGTAGAATAGCTATTTGCTATAAATATAGTCGTAAATATACAGGATAAATATTTACGCCAACTTTCTAAAATAAATATTTTTTGTTTTTTAATGGAACACCCTGTATATTAATTTTTCAATAGAGGGAGAATTAAAAATAACATTTTTGTATTTAGAGTATTTCAAAAATTGTAACGGTTTCGCAGATATTCCCAGTTTTATATTTCATATAGCATTTTCCTGCAGAAATTTTTATCAAAGCCAATCAATGATTTTTCTCTCGTATTTTATCATTGAAAGCGCCATATGCAATAATACTGCGTATATCTGCAAAACTATTAAAAATTTAGAAATACTTTAAATACAAAAATGTTCATTTTAACTCTCCATCTAATAAAAAATATACAAGGTGTTCCATTAAAAAAAAACAAGATATTTTATATTTTAGAAAGTTTGGCGTAGAATATTGAACATCCAGTATGATTTACGGTTACCATATTTATAGCAAAGTAAGAACAGACCATCTAAAGTAAATACCTATTCTATAATAGGTATATATCAAAACTATTTTTGATTTCAGAACAGTTCTTGTATTTTTAATAATTTTTTTAAGAAGGGCTGAAATTTTGATTTATTTTTTAATATCTCTGAAACTATCGAAATATATTTACTCATATCTTAGTATTATCTAAAGTGATCTGAAAGGAAGCCAAAAATGCAATAATATACAGGGTGTTCCATTAAAAAAAATCGTCGAGATCCACTCACACTTTTTTGAGCCACCCTATAGAAGTTAAAATATTTTCTTGAAATATATCCTGGTACATACAGGTTTGGCACTTAAATAAAATTCTCAAGTATCTTATTCTAGGAGCTAGAGATGTCCGACGCACTAATACCGGACCCTGTATATGGAACTCAGATTTCACCTTTTCTATAAGTTATGAGATAACCGAGATACGAAAGGGATCGAAAAATGAATTTTCAAAGGGCGAAAGTCCTGTATTCTAGGAACTAAGAGGGCTAGACACTTTTGTGAGTAGCATATTTAGTTTCATAACAAAGTAGCACAGTGATCTGAAAACCGCATCTTTGTAGGTCTATTCATAAACGAGAAATCCTGCAAAACAAACGAAATTGGCACCCTGTACGCTAAAGATGATATGGATGAGACAATTAGACCTCCGATCAACTTTTCATGAATGAATTGTTCCCGATCCAATAATTCATTCAGTGAGAATACTCAGCGAAAAGTCTAAACAGTGTAAACCTCTTATGACTGAGAATTGCACATTATATAAAGACTATTTATTATTTCTTGTAGCGAATGTGTGCCTCCGTTTAAAAATAATATATTTATTTATATTAATACATTATTAACTAAGTGACCATTACTTTATTAAAGGGAAGGTTAAATGAATCCTTGTGACCAAAAATAAAAGGCTTATTACGTTATAGCTTATATGAAAGAGATAGTTTGCATAGTTTGATGTATGAAAGTTTATAAGTAAATTTTTAAAAACCAATTACCTTGTTTTTTGAGATAGCTGTTGTTTTGCTGTCTAAGCGGTATTCATCTAGGGTTAGGCTGGGCGATGTACTAACTGGTGTGAATGTCCTTAAAGAAAAGTAAAATATATAGTTATATTAATACAAGGATTATACTAAATAATGTACAGAAATATAAAAAAAAATTGATATTTTTTTATCAAAATTTTACTCTTTAATTTTAATCGAAATTTTAAACTTAAATTATTTTCAACTAAAAAATATGTATCAAACTGAGTCTACAATTACATGGTATTTACCCTTCATTGTTATCAAGAATATATCAGAAATTACCAATAATTTACTAATTATTTCTGGTTATATAGTAGTTATTGTTATAAGTCTTTATATAGCCATAATATGATTGTAATTGTCATTGTATTCATTGCAATCAATAAAAACTTACTTCACCTCCTTCTTTTTAGAGCCATCAGGGCGTTGTTCGTGAGACTGATCGTCTGCGTATATGGCTTTCCCTCTAGCTTTACCACTATTCCTTCCAGAAGTGACGTCCAATTGGACTTGCTTCTGAATTTCTTCAGATGTAGGAAATTCCCCTGGCTTCGGACGGACTGTTATAGATATGTTAGCAGATGATTTACCTTAAAAAAAAACGATTTTATTAGAAATATCACAATATCCTTGTTGCGAGGCGTGAAATATCACAGTGTTCTTGTTGCGAGTGCTTGAGTCAATTTGCCACATTTATTTATTTACTAGCGTGTACCAGCGACTTCGTTCGCGTCGAATTAATCATTTGTAATGGTGATGATAAAGCAAAGCAAGAATTTCCATTAACATACAAACTGGATAAAATTTTCTCACATTTATGTCAGCATGAGAAAAAACAATATGGCGATATTATTATATAACTTGGTAATATTTGAGGGATAGTTTCATCTCGTTGGAATTTGACTTTCGAAAAATCCGTTTGCCAAAAATAAGTTTTTTACGTCAAGTAATTTAAGCAGAATCGTGGTTAATCAATTACCCAACTTTTTGGAACACCCTGTATAATTTTTTAAAAAATTTCAAAATATGTAAAAAAAAAACAAATAAATTATGCTTGTCCAAGCGTTTTCCCGAAAGACTAACGGCCGTATTCATAGTGGAGCGCCAGCCGCCCGCCGAAAAGAAGCGCTCGCCGAAGATTTCTCCGGCGAGCGCTTCGATATCAGGAGAGAAAAAAAGCTCTTTCATAGTCGGCCGCCAGCGCACCGCTGCACAGTGCTTCGTCCCATGGACAAAAATCGAAAATAAAGTTAAAATTTACTAATATCTGAATATGTAATTTTATGCTTATAGCAATGTTCAACCATCCTGTATATTATTTTTCATAAACAGCGTTTTTTGTTAGCAAATATTTTCACTAAAAATAAATTTTGCGATCATTATCTTATATCAGTGAAAAGAATAACATTCATATTAGTTTTGTGTATGGAGTTAAACGGTACGTACCGAATTGAAAGCCACTATGGATATTGTTAAACAAGGTAAGTACTTTAAATTTATTTCTAAACAAGTTCGTTATTGTTTAGTTTTTATTTATTTTTAAGATGTTTCTTAAATGGGTATAAAAAATTTACGTTTTCAAACTTCAAAAAGGCATTAAAAAAACATATCAAAACATATCGTATTTATTGAATATTTTTGTTGCCATATTCATACACTTTTAATTTTTGTATAGTTCACCTGCGTCTGCTTGCGACGAACTTTATTTTATAATACTTTTCAGATGGAGTAAAATTGATAAGCAATGCCGATCTGGTTAATACTTGGCTTGATCATAAGGACAAGAACTCAAAATTATTTATATTTTTAAAAAATGTGTTCTTTATTAGATATTGGTGAACCTTCCAGTCCAATGAGATAACCACTTGTGCCTGAGCCCACCTATGTTGGCGCGAAACGTGGCATAAAAATGTTTCCATCTTTCAATTTATTATAAAACCCTCATACAAGAAAACGAAAAATAATATATGGATATGGTCTATTAAAGAGGTAACTATTAACATCCGAACCCCTCATACCAACAAAAAGAACATTAACAACGCGAAAAAGTAATATATTAGAAAATGATGTACAGAAATATCTTATATATGAGGATATTTCATCTACCTGTGATTTGGATACTATAAATTTGAAAGATTCTGTCAGCAATGATTCTTCTGAATCAGAGTAGTTACGATCTATGCATTTTGTTGTCCTAAAGTAAATTTATAGTCTTAAGTTTTTTTTTATTAAATATAGCATTAATGTTTCTTTTTCATTAAAGAAAAACATTTTTATCTTATATTAGGTTTATATTGTAGGAATCATGTCCTAATGTTATTCTAATTCTTTTTTATTACAGGTATTTATTTAATACTTACACCGTTTTCATACTATAAATTATTATTTCCTTAGATGGAACACAGCTCCAACATTCTTATTATCTATAAGATTTTTTTCATAAACGTGGGACTAAGAACATCATCATTTAGTACAATGAGGGTACTCATCATTTGTGTCAAATAAACCTAGTTTGAATAAAATGCCTACAATAAAAGAGAAGTTTTGCATTTTTGTCCTCTAGAGCCATATGTTCGAAGCACTGTGCGCTGGCTGGCGAAAATAACGGCGTGTCCCCAACAAAATTTCACTTCGGGTGGAGGGTTTTAACAACAGGGAACATGTTTTCTTTCTTTTTCTACACAAAATCGGTTATACGAACTTTAACGTTCTCTAAATATTTAAATAAATATTTTATTGATATTGCGTAATTTAAATATTTTATTGATGTGTCCATTATTTTGTTATAATTGGTTTTAAAGTAATGAATAATATCTTCGTAATCCTTCACTTATAGTAAATAGATTTACAATTTTTTATATACATATTTTTTTGGCTAGGTATATTTTTGGGTCATAATAAAAAGGATATTAAGTTAATAATTTATATAATGGGGAATTCCATAGGTCTGCTCGGTTATTTGAAAGTTTTATGGATTCTTTTTTATTACGTTTATTTTTATAGACCTTAACCTTAACCTATTGGTGCTGTCTTAAGGATTTTAAAATTATTTTAAAGGAAACTATGACTAGAGTAGAAGTAATTTATATTTTTAAATTGGCTCTATTTTTGTTTTGTGTAGATGACTGATGTTTTGTGAATTTGGTATATTTTTTCCAGTTTGTGTAAATTACAAAGAGAATTAATGTAATAAACGTAAAAACAATAGACAAAATAAAAAAATTATAAACATAAAAAAAACAAAACGATAAAACATTTAAATGGTCAAATAGATGGACGGAATTCATATGCCTCAAATGTAATGAATTATGGCGTCAAAAATACGAATGTCATCGTTATCGTTAATCGTCACAATATTATAAATATCCACAATTAATTCAGTTTGCTTGTTGCTTCTTTCAACTAGAGAAATAAACCAGACTAAACTGGCGGGCCGCCCGGAGATGGTCAGGATATGCTCCAGTCGCCGGCCGAACATCACCGGATGGGGTTTAAACTGCGCAAGTGTTCTTCGCCTGGAGATCGACTATGAAACTAAAAAAAAATGCTTATCCAACCACCCGCCGGCGAGAGGGCGGTTACTCTATATGACGGATGTGCGCACGCGTTACTCGGAGAGCGCTCGACTCTGAAATAAGAACCAAGAATTTCGGGAAAGCTCCCGCCAGCGGGCGGCTGGCGATCGACTATGAATACGGCCGTAACCGTTTATAAATTAAATATACAGGGTGGCGCACCTTATTCGCCTCGGTGGATTATACGAAAACGGAAAGATGTAGAAACAAAATATTTTATGGGTATATGTGGGAAGGCAATGTGCATAATTCAAAATTATTTTCAAATGTACAGGGTCTGTCAGAACTAAGATATATACCAAAGTTATATTTTTTCTTATGGAATACCCGGTATTTTATTTTATTTTTGGATTTTTGAACATAAAATAAGGCATTTATTATAAATGTTTAATATGTTTACAAGCTTTGGTTTTTGAGATATTTAAAGATATTTAAATATGCATTCTGTAATAAAAAAGTTTGTCAACACCTTGTACATTACTTTTCGGAATTAATTCTTGTGCTGACTTTCAAGCCAGAGAAATAAACTTTACTAAAAAGATTGATTGCTTCCTTAAATGTATACAGGGGTATCAAAAATTGCTGGTCTATTTTAAATATTTATTTTACATAAAAGCTTCGTTATTTCAAATGCAACATTATGTATTTTTCTAAATAAGTCGAAGCAGACTTAAATGCTCTTTCAAACTATATTAGGGTTTTCTATACCTATCTTGCTCAGATTTTGAATAAAAAGCGATTTTTCAAAATTGTAATCAAGATGTCGCCATGGCAATTTTCTAGTGACAAGCTATTTTCAAAATAGACAAGAATATTTTATGGACTTTATTTAAATTTATAACAGGTTATTTTTATTTAATTTACCTACAATAAGGTTAATAAGTAAGTATTTTATTATTTTATCAAGAAAAATGAAGCAGTATCTGCTGGCGGAACGAATGGATATGTTGCTAGTGATTTTATTTTGTGAGGACAATTGTTTGTTGGCCTGAAGGGTTTATGCTCAAAGATATCCAAATAGAAATTTTATTGACAAGAGTTTTTTTGAAATACTACTTTTCCTATTTCGCAGAGCTGTCAGTGTGATATGTGAAATTGTGAAAACTATTAGGCAGAAACCTGTAGTTGGTAGTGAAGAAAATGAATTTGCCTTATTAATTGGTACTTTTATAGAAAATCCAAGATATCTACAAGTCATCGTAATATAAATCAAAGAACTACTTCTTTATTTTTCTTGATAAAATAATAAATACTTGCTTATTAAACTATTGCAGGTAAATTAAATAAAAGTAAACTGTTATAAATTGAAATAAAGTCCATCAAGTAATGTCGATTTTGAAAATAGCTACTAACTGTTACTAGCAAATTGCCATGGCGACACCAGCCATCTTGATTGCCATTTTATTGAAATATCGCTTTTTATTCAAAATCTGAGCCAGATAGGTATAGGAAACCCTAATATAGTTTGAAAGAGCATCTAAATCTGCTTCGACTTATTTAAAAAAATACATAGTGTTGTGTTTGAAATAACGTAGTTTTTATGTAAAATAAATATTCAAAATAGCCCAGCAGTTTTTGATACCCCTGTACATATTTAAGGAAGCAATAACATTTTTTAGTAAAGTTTATTTCTCTACTAAGTCAGCACAAGAATTAACTCTGAAAAGTAATGTACAGGGTGTTGACAAACTTTTTTATTATAGCATGCATATTTAAATATCTTTAAATATCTCAAAAACCAAAGCATTTAAACATATTAAACCCTTATAATAAATGCCTTATTTTATGCCCCAGAATCCAAAAATTAAATAATATACCGGGTGTTCCATAAGAAAAAACATAACTTTGGTATGGATATTAGTTCTGACACACCCTGTACATTTGAAAATAATTTTAAATTATGCATATTGCTCCCCTATATATACCCATAAAAAAATTTGTATCTACATCTTTCCGTTTTCGTATAATCAACCGAGGCGAATGAGGTGCGCCACCCTGTATTAAATATTGTAATA